CAGCCCAACCTCCTTGCTGGTGGCAGGGCTAAGAGGTGGGCCCCGTGAGTGCCTGTGGGCAGCACCTCAGCATTTGCTATCTGGTTTTCTGGCATCAAAGCTGGGGCAGATGACTCATATAGGCTACTATCAAAATGAGGAAAATACGTGGTGTTTTGGCAATTTGCAGGATGAGAGTCTTGGTAATTGTTTTCTTTTCTGTTCCCAGTCACTGCCCAGAAATCCTTGTCATATAACAACTGAAGCATTGGCAGATACTAAAATGAGAGCATGATGACAATGTTGTGCAGCTCCCTGTTTTGGAGTTTCAACCTCACATGTCAAGTTAAACCAGATATTTCATGTGCTAGTAACTGTCTTGTGTTTTCTAAACCACTTATGGTTCCTGTCAAACCAAGCAAGATACTTTCCTGAACTTAATGGAATCTCTGTTACATGCAGGAGAAACAATCACTGTGTGGATGTTAACATATTCATAACTACAAAATAATCACATTTTTTGCCAAATGTTGTGCTTGACAAAGAGGCATTCTCCATTTTTGAGTTATCAAAGTAAAAAATGCATCCAAGTTGATAATCCCTAAATCTGGGAATACATACCTAAAATCTCAGTTACCCAATTTTCTTTGGTGATAGAATACGAAAAAGAGAGAATCTGAAATTTCTTCTCCTATTCAAGACTGCCAGGAGTAACAGTATATAGCATAACTACTAAGGAGAAGTTGGCCAAACTAGAAATTTTATAGGCACGTTTGATGAGAAATATTAACCTAAAACAAGGCCTGGATAGTTTTAGACCAAGAATACATGGTCATTGCAATGACAAGCAGGATCTAAATTTTATTTTGGAGTCTCTACTTCCCAAGCAAGTGTCAGTATAAAAGTCAAGTCTGACAAAAGTCAAGAGACTTCATGGAACAAGCCTTTCATCGGAGCAGTGCAATTCATCACTTCCATTTTCGCATCTGTGTTGAAATCTTCTGTTTTTTCTTTGTGATATAATTAACTTGATAAGCACATAAACTACAAGCCTGATCTTATACACTTTGAAATCAATAGGAGTTTTCTTTCTATCTTCTGTGGAGCAGGACCAGATGCAGGATAAGCTAATCCACTGGGGAGTTCTTACATGCCAAACCCTACGTAAAAGACAAATCAGAAAGTCAATCTTAATGAAAGTCACTTCTTAATGAACATCATCACCATTCTTTGAATGTGCTGTAGGAGTCAGAAGTGACTCTCTTTTGAAAAACAGTAAAATAAAATGAACTTTAAATCAGTGCAATTTTGCAGTTTTGAGAAAACAATATCCCTTTGCATATCACTTTCAGTTATTTAAAACCAGGGCTACAATTTCCACTGAAAAACCTTACTAGTTCTTGCAGAAATAACTGTACAACAGTTTCAAGACAGATAGTTAAAGACATATTTACTAGTCTGGTTTTTTTTTCAAAATAGTTTGATCCATGCTGCCCTTCACTAAACAGAAAATGTTTTTCATTTAGATTTGCCCTTTTTTTAAATACAAGTTTAGAGAAGAAAAATGGTCAGATCTTGGAAATGTTTAATGCTCTGCATTAATCCTTCATACTGAAAAACTGTTTACATTTGGGTCTCATAAGTCAATTTGTTGAAGATAAATGGATGGTACTTCTCAAAATAATTTTTATTTTAATCTTTCCTTAGAGAGGGAAATATGTAGGAATATTTTCTAAACCATTCATCAGCAAGTTCCAGATTAAATTATAGAAATTGACATGTGAATTTGGCCTGGGATTTGGAATTCAAAGGCTAACAGAGTGATTTCCCAGGCTTCAAAAGAAATCTTTTCACTTACGTAGTTGTTTAACACTTTTGTTAGTGGTGAAGTTCATACTCTTAATCTGATAATATCTGCAGCTGTGTGTTAACCAAGAAAAAGGTGTTAGAAATGGATAAGTACTGAGTCATGTGTAGCCCCAGAAACGCCATCAGCCTTAGCATAATTTGTGTTTTGTAATTTACGTTATCCAAATACAGCTTCCTAACGTATTCTTGAATAGTTCAGAATCCTGGTCTGGATCCCCTGAGAGGCTGCATTATTTTCTGTCCTAAATATACAATTTTGTGAAACATATGGTTGGGTAGTGGCCTGCCAAAAGTAAATGTAAATCTCATAACTGAATAACACTCCATGCAATGTATTTAAGAGATGTTTCTTAAGCTGTGACCAATACTTACTCAGCAGGATGTGGAAACTTCTGTTCATCCTCTGGGTTCCTCTCCCTTCACGATATGAAGTTTCAGGGGCAGTTTAAATGTTTTATGATTGTCTGTGCAGCAAAAAAAGTGCCTGTTCTGGTCACCTAATGTAAGAAAAGGGGAGGAAGAGCCAACAAAATGCAAATTTGGCAGTAGGGTGGTCTGTCGATTTTTGTTTGGGAAGAGGTTCTTCAGCCTCTCCTGTGAAGGTGTCCTCGGTGAAGGATGTGGATCAGGTGCTTTCCCTACCAACACTAGGTCAAGGATCTCTGGGAATTACAAATAGTTCATGACTGGTAGGCAGAGAATAGAGAGGAAAATAGGGCAATGGAAATTAGAATTGCATGAATAATGGAGTTTCTCTTTGGTGACCCAACTGAAAAATTAAACCAAGAAAATTCATTTTGGGTCAGCCCAAAGCACTTGTCCAACTCAAAATGAAACAGCTCATTTTGCTTTCAAATCTCTTTTCAACCTTTGAAAGAAATGCACAAAAAAATTCTAAACCAAAACACTATTTATTTAGAAAACTGTCAAAATGAAACATTTCAGCATGAATTTCTTTTTTTGAGCTGTAATTATTGAATTGAAACACAGCTTGCCTGACTGAAACTGTATTTTTATTTTGTTTTAGTCAGTAATTGTTAGTCCCAGACATTTCCCCCTGTTGTAAGGGAAACCTACTCCGACTTCTGCTTCCTTCGTCTGTTCAAAACTGACCATCACCACCACCCTTCACACACCCACAAGTCACACGTACTCTGCAAGAAAACCTATGAAGGAAATTCTACAAAATTTGCTGTGTGGCATTTCCAGGGCACCAGCTCATGAGGTTTCCACGGTAAAGTCTTCCAGCTGGTGGTTTTTAGGGTTAGAGAAGTTAATAATTAGTCGACTTCATTTTTACACTTTTGTGGACAAATGGGTTTTCATCTGGGTTTAGCCCCACTGAGGAAAGCTTGAGAGATTGATTTGAAACTTATGGGTAGGGCAGCTCAACAAGGAAAACGTAGAAGAGGCCTAGAGGAAGTAGAACAAGGAAATAAGTTATTTATCCATCTGTGAAGCAATTATATCATGGAGGAACAGCATGTGTGTGGCTCATGATCTAATCTCTACTTATAATTAAGGAAGAAAACAGGTACTTTTAGGTCAAAGTCATGTTATAGTGTCCAAAGTCACAATCTTCATAAGCCTCTAATGTAGACCAGAGGAATGACATCTGAATAATTCCTCTTACCTTCCATTGACTACAAAGGGAGATGGGCGTAGTTTGGGGAAAGACAGTGTATCTCAAAGGTCAGTGGAGTGAACTGCTCATTTGATGTTTAAATTCCCTCCCTTTGCTGTCATCAGACACAGGCTCAAGTGATAAGAGAAAGGATGTTGGCCAATAGCTCTTGACAACATTACTGCCTATTCCACAAGAAAGGAAATATGTATTCTATTGAATACAGCAAAAGGTTAAACACCTGACACTGTCACGTGGTTCCAAATCTTGGCTGGCTGTCACTATTGGGTCCCTTCTGCCTTGACTGTGAACAGGCATGTAAATCCTACATTGTGAGATACAAATGAGAGTGTATGGAGAACAGTAAACCATGCTGAATGCATCTAATTTGATAGGTAACAGGCATCCATCGCTCAAATGGATCATATGCCAGTCTAATATGTGATTTCCTATAAGAAAGTGTTATGATTTCAGTTCACATAAACCTTGCTCAAAATAGGCATGGATAGATGCTTTTAAATGCGTCTTTAAATTGCTCTGGCTCAGAAGCAGCAACTTTTAAATGTGGACAGAATACCTGTTGCCCTGATGAATAAATGGTAAGGCCTTGGTCAAGAAGACTTCAGCAGTTGCTGAAAATCTGCTATTATGTACTTCCTCTGGCTTTCTGACTATTTGGATGCTTTTCAACCCTTTAACCTTGGTCCAGTCACCAATTTCTTGGGCTGCACTGGAGCAACTCTTCTGTCTTTGCCCAGGAGACATTGCTGAAGGACATGATAATGACAGATTAAACTGCTCTTCAGTGACTTGGGCTTTTTTCTGTCTTGGAGTTTGTGTCAAGTGTAAGTATCAAACATTCTCTTCTGAAGGACTCTCAAATCCCTAATGCTGTAGAACACTTGTTTGTGCTCAGCATGCCTATGGATGGATCAGTGAGAATGCAGCACTCTGAGTTTTCATTAGCAACTGCTTCCTGACTGTCTCCATTTCATCTGACCCAGAGGGACAGTTTGGGGCCTTTCACCAGCAACTATTCAAGATGGGATCTTCTCTCTGGGCATACTGAGGCAGAGCGATGAACCAAACTCATGACTCTCAGGAGTGATGCTGTTTTTCCCACTGCCCCGCACAAGAAAGGCTGATCAACACACTACTCGCTAAGCCCTAGCCTCTGGTAAATTGGAATTGCAGCCTTATGGTAAGGAAGCATGTTCCCAGACTGAGCTTGCATGCTTTGTAGATACATAAGTACAGCCATTAGTTCAGCAATGCCACAGGCATAACGTGTGACATCTCCCCGTGTCTAAAGAAAAGATAAAAGTTCTGCAAATGGCAATGTTTGGGGACTAAAATATTTATTATAATAAATTAAAGTGCAAGCATTTATAAAATATTTCATTGCATATAAATATCACACAGCAGTGTTACTTTCATAGTTCACTTAAAACGTTTTGATACAGTTTCATAAATACATTTTCTTGAATATTTTTCAATTAATCTATATAAATAAAAGTATTGTATAATTATTACCTTAAAATAAGTTACTATTAAATACAAATGACAAAAAATATTTCTGAATTAGTCTGAAATACCAACTTTTCAGGCCAAGGTCAGAAGGGGGCAACATATTCAAGACAGACTTCCAGGTAAGAGCCTCAAAACTTCCTGGCTACCTTTAACTGCCTACCTTGATCAATACTGATCCATAGGTGTCAAATTTCAGCATATAAAAGACAGAAACAGTTGCCTCATTCCTATGGAGATGGGGAGGACAGGAGCGTGCCTTAGAAAATAACTAATAGCCTGTGCTGAAATGGAGCTGCATTGTCCTGGAATTTTCATTTTCAAAGAAGGCAGCAATATGCATCCTGTCTCTGCCCACTTAGTTTGCTAGTTTTGACACAAATGCAAAATATATTGCATCTGGGGGAATGGGTGTAGTTGTTGTAACAGCTAATCAGTTTGGGTTATCATGAGATTTTTCAGAGACATCTCTTCAAGCTTGTTCCAAATTTTTTTCAGTTTTTCTCCTTGTTCCCTCCCTTCTTTGGGATATCAGTGCAGGCATTTTCCATGTAGTCAAACAGTAAATCCAGTTCTCCAATGGCTTTAGTCTTTCCATTTTCTCCCAACTAGAAAAGAGCAGAATGCAAGTCTTAGCAACTCATTATTTCTCAGAAAATTGAAATTAGGATTGTCACAGAAACTGAATCAAGAATTTACTTTCCTAATTCTTTCACATAGTTCTATTAGAGTCATTATGCCATAAAATATAAACTAGCTTGTTCAAATCTAGACTAGCATATACAGTTCCTGCAACATAACTTTTTAAGGTTTAAATTACCATAACATGTGCAGAGAGTTAACAGGACAAGTGAAGGAGGGCTGGAAGGGGAAACGTTACTAATCCTCTCTTTGTTGCTCCGGCAAGCTTCACCTCCCAGATAATCTCCAGAGTTTGTTTCATAATTAGGTCAGACTTAATCCAACTAAATGATTGGTGTTTGAAACTGCTCTTTTTAAATGTTTGGAAAAAAATGTACCTGTTCCATTTTGTTCTTCATTTGTTCCAGGTTCTTTTCAATGTGCTCTCTGTTTCCTGAGGATTTCTGAAAAAAAGGAAACATCCAGACATAAGATTGACAGCTGTATGCAGCAACGTTCTTGTTGTTTGGGGATTTTTCTTTTTCACACCTTTCTATCAATTCAGAGTTTCATATCTTTGATCTGAGGTTTCCTTTCATATCACTGCCTTTTGCCACTGTTTGTAGCATTCTGAGATTCAGGAGCAGCAATAAGAGCCAACACAGGGAAAGAAACCCAATGTTACTCACACATTTGCTCAGCTCGGAGGTCAGGGATGCCAAGAACTGTGCCACCTCCTCAACATACGGGTACTGATTCTTGACCTCAGTGAGGAGAACATCTTTTACCACAATCTCCACAACCCTCTTCATCAGGTAGCAGCGGTTGTTTTCCTATGTATGATAGCAAGAGATCATGTTAAATCAAAGCAAGAGATCAATGAGTGCTGCAAAGAGCAGACTCCTCGAGTAAGGCTTACCTTGATGTTAACATAGAGCTGCTGCCCAATCAATCTGTTATCTGTGTCCTTGTCCGAGGCACTGGCCTGAGAGCAAACAAAGGAAATGTCAGATAGGGACAGGAACCTTACCTAAAAATTAATAATAAACCCTAAGGTTTTCATCAGTAATGAAAGTGCAGGTGAAATGAGGGAATGGACGCCACAGACAGTCTGTTACAGGTAGATAAATCTGGATATTGTGTCTGTTTCTCCCTTCAATTGGATGAGATTTAAGGTCAGTATCACTGGAAAATAAATAAGCAGAAGTCGGAATTCATGTCCCCCTCTTAAAAGTCTGATGTTGTAGAGGTTACAATGACTAAACCAGATGCTGCAGGTGGCCAACCTCACGGTGGCCCACAGCGTGCTGGGAGGTGCTGCAGCCCTCGATGGTGTACACTGTGGGAGACCCACCCATGGCAAGAGCAGCCAAGAAACCCACCCAAGCAGAGCACTGTAAGATGCCTGAGCATCTGTCTGGCTGTGACTGAAGTCATGGACAGACAGAGCTCCAAATGGACTCGGCAAACTGAGAACTTTAATCTCATGTTTCACAACTGTCCCATTTTAGCAGCAGCTGCTTGAAGAGAAGGAGCTGTGCTGTTCCAGGAGCTGCCTTTCCCTTGGGGAGCAGGAGCAGGAGGAGGAGAGGCAACAGCTTCCCCTGCCTACACAACCAGAGGGTAACAGACCCACTACACACATACAAGCTCTGCCTTAACTGCAAATGCACATTTTTCCTCTGGAGAAAGGCATGGTAAAGAGAGAACAATACCAAAGGCTAGAAGCCAGGACAGAGGAGTAAGTCCTCAGATCCCACTATGAAGAACACGTAGGTTACTGTACCATTTTAGCCAAGGTATAGGTGCGATTCCTGATGTAGGGCTGCTGGAAGTTGATCTTCCTGAGCCTGCAGGCATGATGGGCAACAGAAGCCCCTTTCAGAGGCAGAGAGCTGGTGAGAAGAAGAGGGAGACAGCAACAGCAGCAGAAGAAAACCCATCCTGGGAAGCTCTTGGACAAGGTCTGCAGGTAGGCCATGGCTCACAGTCCGAGATCGTCCGTCCCAGCAGGTTACAGCTACTCAGTACTGATGAGAGAGAGAGCAGGGTTAGCATCAGGGAGAGTGGTCAAAGCAAAGTGAGAGCAGCACAAAGACTGCAAGCCTTACCTTTGCTGTGATTCTTGATGTGCTCTGCAGGAGGTGGCTGCACCTTATATAGGGCCAGCAACATCTCTCTCAGCTTTTTTTTCTCTTTTGGATACTGGTGGTGAAATAAAAATGACATCAGCAAGTCTCTTACTTTCCAGTATCCTCTTCTGAGAACTATCTAACCACCTCAAAACCCACAAATACAACTTCAAGGGCATCATAATGTTTCCTATAAAACAAACCAAATATTAATGTGGGGCAAAGCAGGGGTTTTTACCAGGGTAGGAATCCTGAATTCTTTTTGCATAAAAATATTCAAGAATTTTATGAGTTTGTGCCTCCTGTTCCAATTGTAACATGCTTATTTGATTGACAATTTGATAGCAGATAATGTAACCTATCTAAACTTTTGTTCATCTTCTGTGGTAAGAGACTGGTGTTTCACTGCTGCTGACTTGTGTACACAAGCAGTCAGAGACTGCAAAAGACCCAACGCACTGACCACCTATGGTTCCTATCCTGCAAATACCCTTCCTCACACAGTGGCCCAGTGGGTCACCAGCCATCTGTCCATCACTGTGAAATGCTTTCTGAGAGACCAGAAACTGTGTAGGACCAACACTGCATTTTTCACATCCCTGATTTTTCAAAAATTATCCACATTCCAGGCTGTAATCAGGTGTAATGACCAGAACTAGGGTCATGTTCTTTCTTATCCAGGTGATTTCCATGTTCCTAAGCCTCTTCTGCTAACATTAAGGTAGTTCTGCACCTTCAGTCTGAAATATTACGCACAGTGTTAAAGAGAAACAGTGCTCTTCTTAGAGAGTAAGTGGCAACCCAGCTGCAGACAGTAATGCATGAGAACACAGAACTGGTACAAATGCAGACTCCTGGGTTGACAATACCTACAGGACACACAGGTGACAAAGAGGAGAAATCAGACCTGAAAAACCAATGCTTCAGCTCTGCCTCTGAGAGTGAACATCTGAGAACTCTGAGAATGGGTATCCCTGTGGCTGGGCTTCACCCTTTGGGGCTGAGGATCACAGGACAAAAACCATAACCAACCTTACCCCATGGTCTGAAATGCCCAGCTCTTATACCTGAAGGAAGCAGTTAAAGGCTAGGTGGCACCAGGTTTATTCTTTGGCCTCCCCTGATACATCTGCAGCAGAAATTCATCTTTCCAGGCCGCAGTTCTGCCTCAGTTTCCCTCAGACACCTGCCACATCAGCTCTGCACAGATCTGTGCCATTGAAACTGCACCCCCTTAGCCTGAAGACACCATCACCCCCTCCCTTTCTGTGCCCCTCTCAGGTTCCCATTCCCACGACCAACTTCCAACAGCATCCTCACTGCAGCATGCAGCAGAAAGCAAATATGGAGCCAGGATGTCAACAGTCTCGTTCACACCCAAATGTACCACAAAGCTATTCAAGAACGTATTTCTAAACTCTTTTCCACATATGTTTCATTTGCCAGGCTAACAGTCCCAGTGGTGGTGCAGGTTAATGAGAAGATGAAACGCTGAGTTATACTTTACTTAGCCAAAAGACAGACATTAAAGACCAAATTGGGAGAAATCCTGACAGATAGGCTGTTTTGAAGGATTGGTCTCCCCTGAAGTGCATTTCCACAAACTCCTCTCCAGATTTTAAACACAGTCTGATAACCAAAGTCTGTCTCTATCTGAGGTTTCTCACACTTCTCCATCAGTTCATCCATCTCATACCCAGAACAAAAGCTGTGAACATGCACTCAGACCCCCGCCCTTGCCTTTCTAGCAGGTGCCACCTATCCATCCCTTTGGCCGCTTACTCTTGTCAGACACAGATCTAGCTTGCCTGATGTCTTCTTGTGGCTCCAATCCCATGGAAAGGGTGCATGACCTGGGTAAGTAGGTGCTGTGCCACTCTCATCTGTTTAAAACACTGTGAGGAGCCCTGCTGCTCCCAAGCTTCCCATGCACCCTGATGGACATATAAACAACATCAGGCAGATGAATGAGGAATTAGATGCTGAATCTTTCTTCTGCTCCTTTTTATACAGTCATTACAGAATATCTTTTGTCTTTCTTCTCTATTATTTGAAACCATACACTGTGACCCACCTATTTTCATAGAAAACCTTGTTAGCCTTGATAAAGCTCTCTTTTTCCCATCTGTATTGTTAGCCAGCTCTCTGTCATGCTACTTTTTAGTTGTGCCATGGTGTCTTCCTTCTGAGACTCTAGAAAAGCTTTGTTTCAGTTGTGTAGTTTACCTTGCTACTTCTGATATTCACCTTTATTTTCCACACACTGAGATGCTGAAGTGCATATTGTAAGTTCATTAATTTGTGTTCTGCAAATTCCCTTTTTATGATATTCTAAAGCCTTTGCATTGTTTAACTTTCTGTTAACAGATGGAAGTTATAACTCTCTTTCATCCCTCTAGCTTACTGTGAGTATGGTTCAATGCAAAAACAAAGTCAAAATCTTACTGGCACTAATTTTAGCAGACTGTACGGTTCCCATACTCATCAGTCCATTCTTGGCCTCTTCTCAACCATCTTCTACCAAATGCCTGTTGTTTCTCCCTGTACCACAGAGTTATGGTATAGCCACAGTCATCGTTGCAGTTATTTCCTTAACATGTCAAAAAGAATTTCTTTAGAAGTGGGGATATGCCTTCCATTCCCAGGGTCTTCTGTTATGAGATTGCATGGAACAAAGATGTGATTCGCCACGGCTATCACCTCTTTTGACTGGCTCACCACACCCTCCATGGGAGATAAGCATCCAGCATTACATCCTACATGAAGATGGAGCTAATAAAGAAAATAATTTTGAAAATGTTCACAGGTCATTTTTTCTCCCTGGTACTGTCCCAAGAGCTAAATGTCCCATCACTAAACTCACCTATAAACATTTAAAGTCTAATTACATGGTGTTTCCCTAATTCATTAAGAAACCATAGTGGTAAAATATTCTCGACAATGACTTCTTGACCCACATTGAAAACAGAGGATTTTTTGAGGATGACTGGAACTCCATATCACATCTGCCTCAAAAGCCACAGACATTTCCTTCTGATTTTGAATGAGGTCGCAGGTGAATAACCAACACTGTACTTCGATGTTCAGCTGTTGAGTATCAGCAGCAGCACGCTGGCATGCAGGAATTTCCTTGAGCTTTAGTACACTTTGAATCAGCCAGGATTATAGTGCGTTATTAGAAAAGTCAGAATTGGCCACTGGGCTAGAAACACTGTCAAAAGTAGGCATGTGAAAGACTAATTGTGTATCATCCTGTTGGATCATTTATTTGGCGATGCAATCATACCCACTCAAACCTTTGTGTGAGTGGACCACAGGTCACTTAACACCTAAAACTGAACATGCAATCTCAAGTTTCAGGTCACACTCATACCCTTATTTTGCTCTACCTCTTTTGTGAGCTAGTTGGCTGCATTTTATTTTTTCAGCTTTTGCCCAGACTTTCAAGCTTGCAAAGATTAAAGCTGACTATAAAAATGTTTCAGCTCAAGCTCCAGTGAAGTCTGATTTTAGTCAGCTCTCCACCCAGCAATGAAAACATCAGCAATGGAACTTGATTCTTCCTTATAAAACTTGAAAATAAGCTTTTCTGTAATCCAGCTATTCATTATGGAAACGTCCTAGTACACAGACAAGTGTCTTCTGTGTATGATCACTAGGAATAGCAGAAGGAATTCAATTTCTGTAGAGAAAATTATAGCAACACAGAACTGGAAAAGGACATGCAGCATTTCACCATTATATTTTTGCTTGGATTTTAGGGTTTTTTTTCATCATAGGTTTAATGTTGTCTAAGAAATTGTGAACCTTTTGGAAGAAGGAGGAATAGTACTAAAACTGCTTAGCCTGGGAATATTAGGTGACTGAAAAAGACTCTGGTGTCAGCTCTCATTAGAGACACTGCTGACTCAGGACTTTAGCAGAGGATGTGCAATTTCCTACCTCCCCTGATAGTAACATTTTTGTAATACAGAGTAATACATTTCCTCTGACAGTAACACTTCAGCTTCCATATCTGATATTTCATCAGAGATCTTTGTCTCTGACCTTCAGTCGGTTTTATTATATAATTTTTAGGTCTTCTAAGTATAAAATACCATATTAAAATATCATAAAACTGGTATTTCATACCATAAAACATCCAAGAGGAAGGGAACTAATAGCACACTGTGGCTTCAATTTTAAGTTACATTCTGGGACAAAAAAACGCAGTAACCTCTCCCGCCCTAAAAAACTACCAAACAAAACCTCCTTTGTTTAAAGAACTTTATTCTCACCAAAGAAACATTCATGTAGTGGAGAGCCAAGAGAAAGTAATCCAGAGACAGCACTACACAGCTGCTACCAAAGGTATTAATGTGTTAATACAACATTATTATCAGAACCACTGATATAGTAATTTCTATTGTGTCTGCCAGAAGGATTCAATGATTAATATGAAAACAAAAACCCAAAGAACAGTGTCAACTGAAGTGCAGTAGACATTAGTCCAGTGGTCTTGCCTCTTTACACAACTCCTGCCAACATCAATAAAGCGCAAAGAGAAGTATTTATCAATAGGAGCCATCACTTAGTTCACAGAGATGAGAGCAAAGAGAATGCAGACCATGCCAGTGCACACAACCTCATGCCACCAAAGGCACCACTATTAACCCTTCCACCAGATGGTTAGTTTTTTGAATTCAGTGCATAAAGTCACGTACATACTATAAAACTCTGTCACTTTATATAGTGACCTACATAGATCCAACTATGTCTTGCGAATAGTTAGATCAGGTGAACTGAAACTTCTGTGCTTCCTGTTAACGTGGTGTGGTTGCACAGCCGTGACTCAGTGACATGGCAAAGTGGAATTACTGACATAGAGTATCTCAAAGAAAACTAATCTAACAATTGGGAACAGAATTTTGCAAGCTGGTTTATAATCCAAATTAAATGCCAGTTACTCGGATTAAGAAATAGCCCCAGCATTGTGCACCTCGGTTTACCAAGTACCATCAATTATCACGTAATAAATCAACACCATTAAAGAAATTCATCTTGAAAGGAAGCAATGTAATTCAAGGTGA